TAAGAAGATCTAGAGTATTTGGTCAGTGTGTAACTGTCCAGAGTATTTGCTTGGTATGTAACTGAGTTAATGAGAGGGTGTATATTAGTAAGCTGTAGGGCATGCATTTGGGGATAGTAGTGTGCTGTATGTAAATCACAATCAGCAGCCAAGTCTCAAACTAAGAATTTCCATTCATTACTGTGACTGTTGGTCACACTGAAATTATTGTCAGTCAAAACATTTTCAAAATATCTGATAAGACATGACTATTTTCTACTCAAGCAGTGTCTGAGGTCCTCTCTTGGCATTGCTGAATCAAAAAAGATCAAATCACTGATGGCGTGATTTCTTCAGCAAAGTGCTAGGTAGGATCAGGTCTGGTGGAAATTTTGAAATTGCTTTCTCCATCAGCTTTTAATTATCCCTAGTGTCATTTGGTCTGAAGAAATGTGTGTGTGTTTTCAGTACCTGCCAAAATGTGGAAGGTTTCAGTAGGGACAAACTGTGACTTTTATGCGCTGTCTGTATGCCAAGAGCCAGCTGTTAAAGCTCAGTTTAAATGAAGCTTTTCATTCAGTTTCATTCAACATTAATATCTTGATTGTTTGTGTTTACTGTTAAGTGATGTTTTGCAGCCAGTGTCCCTTTTAGCTGTAAAAAAAAAAAAAAAAAAAAAGAAAAAATTATTCATGGACCCTTCAGCACAGATTGAGTTTAAGAAATATTCAAACATTAGGCTCATCTATTCAAATGTCTACAATAATATTCAGGCTATTTAATGGAGCTTTTTTTCCCAATGAACTTTCCACTGACAAAACAGGTCAAAGTTATTATTTAAAGCCCTAGTTGTTTTTCAGTATTTAAGGTTTGGATTAAACCCATTTAATTCAGGTGAACAACCAAATAGGCTAATAACTATAAGAACTCAACTGTAAATACAATAACTTTAATAATGGTGTGTTGTGATTTCCACCACTGTATAAAAAAGTGTAAGTCAGTGTGTAACTGTCCAGAGTATTTGTTGGTATGTAACTGAGTTAATGAAAGGGTGTATATTAGTAAGCTGTAGGGGGCAGTTGTGCAGATCATGTGGAATTAGCATTCGAATGAAACAATCCCTGAAAGCAGGGGCAGCTAGTATGAATGGGCCAACAGGGCTAAGTCTTTCAAAGAAAAAAAAAAAAAGAGAAAAAAATCAGTATAAGGTTTCATTTTTGACATCCACATCAGATTATTTGCTGTAAATAAATGTCTTAAGAAGGATCATTTTGTAATTATGTGAAAGCAAACACAACAGCACCACCAAAGGTTATAAGAAATTCTTTTTTTCACCGAATGCCTTTGGAAGAAAAGTAGTACTTTTGTCTCCCCTGTCAGTCAGAGTGACACTAGCCAGTCACAGTCATCTGTGAGCTCATGCATACAGAATTGGGTAGATAGCGCTTTCCTCCTTGTGTGTTATGCTGCCCTGCGATACAGCACGTAAAAAGATGCAGAGGTTGGCTTCACATGTCTCAGGGGAAGCACATGCTTGCCCGCCATCCCTGGTCTGTAGATGTGGTGTGATAGGAGAACAAATTGGGGAGGAAAAAAAAACACAAGACAAAACAAAATAAATGTAGATTGACTAAGCACACAATGTCCAAGTACAAATTACACAAAAGCACAGGGTTATGGGTAAAGGATTATGCAATCGATGAGACCTTGTCGTATAATGTGTTGTAAATCTTTCTGGATGACCATGAAAATAATGCAGTTTCACTAGAAGTAAGATAACTGAGACTAAGAGCCAGGTTATAATAAAAGAGATGGCTTATTGCATGTATAAAGACAGCCTAGGTGCTCTATAGTCCATCTCTTTTATTATAACCTGACTCTTAGTCTATGGATTCTTCAGTTTTCTACTTCTGGTGAAACTGCAGTATTTTGATGGCCATCCAGAAAGATTTACAGGAATCGTGGCGACTCTGGTGGGACGCTGACGTTCTCTGTCCGTGTGCTGTGACGACCCAGATAACAGACATCATCACCTCCTATCTGATCTGATCTGACAATCCTGTTCCTATGGTCCTGTGACAAACATATGCTTGCATGGGCGAGTGAGTGGTCCTGTCAAAGAACTTGCTGGATGACAGTGTCAGTTTGATGCTAGATAAAATAAGAGTTCGACTGATACGTGTTCAGTTGAAGTTTCTCGGTACTGAACGAGTTGTGCTGTTTTATACAGTGTGGCAATGAGTAATCAGGATCCTAAGGGTCCTAAGGGTGTTGGGGAGTCTTCCTCACCAGTTAGTGAGTTATCCTTGCCTTTTGCTGATTGCATTGCATTCATTGTCAAGCTAGTGATCGATATTTTATTTTAGCCTTCCTTTATCTGATATTATTACCAACCGACTGTCACTGCCCAGATGTATTCCTTAGTAACGGACTGATACAAAGCTACACTTTCACAAAGCTCCACTCAGTGGAGGAAATGTAAGTCTTCCTAAATTATTGAGTTTTTCGTTTTTAATTTTTAATTTTTCCTTACTCAAAGCTGTGAGCATCTATAAAAATGCCACTCATTTTCTGTATTGGAAACCTCAAAGAAGCAGGACTTGGTAATCTCTTCACGATTAGGCTAAAACAACAGGAAATGTTTAATGTTCATGAAATCAATGGGTGGCAGGTAGTGCCATGTGAATTATTGAGATAAGTCAGTGACACGGTGCTACAGTGCTACCTAGAGAGAAGTCTTACAGTATCTTTTTGAGTGCAGCACACACACTGACTGAAAAGTCTGAAACTGGGATTTCTTTGGCTGAAGCCTGAATAAAGGATTATTGACCCCATTATTTTCTGATCCCACCTTGAACAGAACAAACTCTGCTAGGATCAGGACTGTGGACTGATCACTGATTGGCCCCTGGGAACATACCAGTTGCATGAAATCAAATAGTCCTTCCGGCATCCACGAACAATGGTTGGAAATACCCCTAGTGAAAGGAGCAGGTGCAAGATAAGAAAGGCGTGTTTACCCAAAATATAATTCAGTCCACAATTTTCACTTTGAAATGAATGTGCTTGGGGAGGTAGCCCAAGAGCTACCACATGCTTGTCCCATTGTTTAGATGCACAAAATATTTTATTTCACTCTGTCATTACGGCATCTCATTCTTTGTTCGTTGAAATGAATATTTAATTATGCAAATCACAATCAGCAGCCAAGTCTCAAACTAAGAATTTCCATTCATTACTGTGACTGTTGGTCACACTGAAATTATTGTCAGTCAAAACATTTTCAGAATATCTGATAAGACATTCATGACTATTTTCTACTCAAGCAGTGTCTGAGGTCCTCTCTTGGCATTGCTGAATCAAAAAATATCAAATCACTGATGACGTGATTTCTTCAGCAAAGTGCTAGGTAGGATCAGGTCTGGTGGAAATTTTGAAATTGCTTTCTCCATCAGCTTTTAATTATCCCTAGTGTCATTTGGTCTGAAGAAATGTGTGTATTTTTAGTACCTGCCAAAATGTGGATAGTTTCAGTAGGGAAAACTGACTTTTATGCACTGTGTGTATGCCAAGAGCCAGCTGTTAAAACTCAGTTTAAATGAAGCTTTTCATCTTCTGTTATACAGTAAGACTGGAGAACAGGATGGGAAGCTTTAATATATGCAAGTTATATATTATTTATATATCCAAGTTACTATACAGCAACCAGGGTGACTAAGAGCATGGGTAAATTATCTGATAACAGGATTAAAGACATATTTTTTAGAAGTCTTCCTCCTAAAATGTAGAATGCTATTTCTCAGGTAGTGCTAGTTTAAAGCTAAAAGTGACAGTAAGATTTTTGATTTCATGCTCTCACCCTCTTTGCAACCTACTGCTGCAGGTCACGGCTGCAGGTTCACACATTTAGATAAAACTCAAACCAGAAAATGCATACTAAGTGCATTGACAAGACCTTGTTTATTTTTACTTAAGGTCAGACAGTTAGCTCTTACTGTGACAGCCTGATCAAGCAGCAGTGCCCATGCAACCTGCTGCGGTGTAATACAACCTGATGCTCAGCTCAAAATATTTGACCATTTCTGATAAGTGAGTCCAAAGAAAGGGACATGGAGAATAACATAGAATGGACCGTAATAACAGGAGGTGTTGTAGAGATATCATCAGCAGCTGTTCAGTCACTGGCTTCCCCACAGCTCATGAAAGTATGCCACACACAGTGTCACTGTGTAGATGGATATACTAAAGCACAATAACAGAAATGAGTAAATAACGGCAGTGGACTGATTTGTTATTATGTTAATGTTGGTAATCCCATTGAATTAGTGACATGTTTTTTGCAGAAAAATGTTTTTTGGCATGTAATAATTTGCCATGTTTTTGTGCCAACCATTTTGTGGCAGCCCTTGTAATATTGGTCATGTGTGAATAATTGCATAAATGGTATTTTCTGACACACGTAATTATGCATATCTGACATTATCCATGGGCAATATGCAGGATTTCCTAGGTTATTAACGTTGGCAGATAAACCATGAGTTTGGACTAGGTGGTGCAGCAAGCACTCTTCTAAAAAAAAGGCTCCTCAAGGGTTCTTTGGATGGTTAGTGGTTCTAGCTTTCTAAAAGTTTTCTTTGTGGATCATTGTCTGGTAACCTCTTTTGTAGGGTTCTAAATAAACTTTTAATGGTTGCCCCAGCGTAACAAATTCCTTAAGATTTTATTGATTTTTTTTTTTCAAGGGTATGTATAAAGATTTTGGAGCAAGAAGATAGACTTACTCGTAATTGACGGTCATCTGCATTATTCTCATAGCTCTAGTGCAATACCTGCAAAGAAGCCAGTGTTGGCTGACTGACTACATTGTGACTACAAGGTTTCTTTGGATGGTTGGCAGTTTTAGATTTCTAAAGGACTACTTGTTTCTTCTAATTATTTTTCACAGCAAACTACAGCAGAGCATCTTGCATACTGCATGGCTATCACTGGAAAATATTCAGTTGTATTTCACCCCTGCTGGTTCCCTGGTGGACTAATGGTTATCATGTGGCGCTCTCATCGCTGTGGCCCAGGTTCAACCCCCGGTCAGGGAACCAACCCCAGTCACTGGAGGGTTGCACGAGCCAGTGCGCTCTCAGTGCTGGTCCCAAGCCTGGAAAATGGGGAGGGTTGCGTGAGGAAGGGCATCCGGCATAAAACTTGTGCCAGAATCAATATGTGGACGGAGTCTCACCCCTCCTATCCTCTAGAGGCACTGAGAATCACCGGAATCCCTTCTTATGTATATGTGCATGCATGCCTTCCAACAAAGTCATGCAGTGACATAATATTTGCAATAATTACCACTGTCATGCAGCCATTTACCAATTTTTCTTCTCATCTTATACATGTGTTGGACCATATGCACACCATTTGGAGCTATCCATGTAGCAGCTTGTTATTACTTCAATGCGTTCAGTAGCCTCCTCTAATCTCTCCTGCCTCCTAAATTAGCTGGATTTCTGCAAATATGAAGCTCTGGGGAAGCATTGAGGATCCCTCTTTCTTTCATAATACACTTTCTTTACTGATTCATGCTATAAGGATTTTGCTCATGCAATCAGGATCTGAAAACCCTGGAACCCAAAGTCAGGCACCAGCTATGCACTCATTGCCTCGCCACTGATCATCTTAAGGAAGCAGTGCAGGTTTGGATATCCCCTGTGCTGACTGCAGAGCGATGTCAGTGCCCATAGTGTACACTTGCCTGACAGATTTAGACCCTGATTCAGAGTTAACTCTTACCCAAACCCTGCAGCCTAAACAGCTTGCTATCTGTAAACAGTGTTCTAGTTTACTGTTAGGTGCAAATGAAAAATAAAAAAGTAGTGAAAATAAGTTCAACAAATTTGAAGAGAGAAGTTGAAGTAGTTATGTACCTTAGCAGTACCCTACGACTTCATAATTTAAGAAGAAGAAGAAGGCTTTATAAAATGTCTAGTTTTAATGGTTGTTCAGTTTCCTTGTTACTTTAATCAGTAGATCATAGAACATGCTTATGACATATAGTTATAAATTTGTATTCCTACAAAGAATCTTGTGCATATATGTCAAAACATTTTGCACAGGCAGCCCAAAATCAGATTACAGGGTTCGTGCTCAAATACAGTAAATCATCAATGCACTCAAGCCCTCAGGTTTCAGGCAGCAGTGGATGTGGCACACATTTGAATCAGAATCAAGTGTGCTCACACACACACAAGGAATTTGACATGGCATGAAGCTTCCAGAACACACACACATACCAATAAGACATGTAATAATAAACTTTACAAATAATAATAATAATATGCGAGAATATCTAACACTGTACAGTAGACACAATTTAAATTCATAATTCTTAATTCATAATTCAGAATTTGTCTGGCGTAGGTGAAAATAGACTGGGATCATCGTAGTATTCACCTCAAAGAACTGAGAGATGTGTTCAAGAGCAATATTCTTCCCTTAATATACACCAGATTTATCACTCATGGAAGATTTGAACTGAACTCCATCAGCTTTTCTTAGGTCTTGAGTGACATCCAGACATAGACTCTCAGATGTTCTGGGTGTTTCAAGGATCATAAGAAAGCAATTGTTCCTTTGCTTCTAACACCGTGCATCACTCTGCAGATAACAACAGTGATAACTTTTAGAGTTTGATATGTACTCCATCACACTGCAGTTGAAGTGAACCAAGGATTATGGTGATAAACTGCAATGATTATGGCATTCACTCATATTGAATGATCCTGTACAAAATGTATATAAAATTGGCTGGTGAGTTCTGCGAATTTTATACACAGATTAAGTTTACTGATGGGAAAAGCAAATTATGGAGAAATTTGTTGTCCAAAACTTACAAGTTCATCTGTGAAAGACAATGTTGTAAATGGATTGGCAATGGATCTATGAGATGTGCAGAATAATGCCGCCTATAGGGTATTTATCTAGTAAGTCATTCATTTATTCTTTCACCTACAGTGACTGCTTTATCCTGGTCAGGATCCCAGTGGATCCAGAGTCAATCTCAGTAACACTGGGCGCAAGGTTGGGGAATTCACCCAAGATTGAAAGCCAGTCAATTGCAGGGCACCATGCACACACACACACGCACACACACACACACACACACACACACACAAACACACACACACACACACAGTGAGATGAAACTGGAAACCTTCATGACTAGATGTGATGAAGGTCAGATTTCTACATCAATTGCTACTGTGGTCTCCTGTGTCACATTATAATTATGGATCATGAATGGGGGCTAACTACCTTCTTCTGTCTTATATAGAGGAAATCACTGCATCTTTTCAAATGTGTATGCATTAATAAATATACCCATGATTGGACACCATGGCTCAGGGAGAGAAGAAATAACATCCTTACCACTCAATGCACCGGCAAATTGTGTTCCTGTAGACACCCCTCCCAGACAGCTGTGGCATCGCTGTGAATCAAAATTCTAAATTCTAGAAATAGGAAGCAACCTTCATAAGATGAGACAAGAAATGCACGTTATTGAGACAGCACAGACAGCAGGATCCGATAATGCCATTCAGAAAGACAGGATTAAGAAAATGAAAAATTCTAAAGCTATTATATTTATAGAAATAGTCCCACCCACAGAATTATTACAGAACTTAAAAAAGAAACCCATGGGAAACAAAGACTTGAAAACCATTCAGTTCTGAGTGAGGTCACATATCTGCTCTTAAAAACATGGACACGCCAGACCTTCCAAACAAAACAGTGTGGGTGAAGATGAATCTCGGGTTTTTTAGTTCCACCCATGCCCTACATGTAAATATGTGCTCCCTGTCTTTGCTGCCTGAAAGAGAAAACAACACACAAAAAAAATCTGAGAAGAGAGAAAAGAGTACATCACCAGCCCACTTCGTTTCAGTAACAGTAAATAAGTTACTTTTCTGACTAATTCATCAGTTAAGGATATTTTTATAACCAAAACATGTTCAATATTTCCCCAGAACTTTGTCCCAGAATTGTTATCATAGCTCCTTGGTTTTCCTGATCCTGTTTTTTAGTTATGTTCTCTAACAACTCTGATGCCTTACAGGAACAGGTATTTATATTGAGATCATATGACACTTTAATTGCATGCAGGTGAACGCTTTTCAGTTAATTATGTGAATTTTGATAGCAACCGTTTGCACCAGAACTAATTTAGAGGTAGCTTTTATGATCTTGTTTTGTAAATGATTTTGCATTACATATAATCCAAATGAAGTCACAGGTTGTAACACTACAAAATGTGGAAAAGTTTATTGGGGGTGAATACTTACGTGAGGCACTGTAGTGCATATGTGGGAAATTAGCAAACAAGCGAAACAGAGACTGATACTTTAGGAGGAGAGTCACACTGGCACTTTTTGAGCTGGCTGAAGAGACACAAGACTGTCTGCAGCTTCTTGAGCTGATTTTTTTTGTCTATTTAACTTTCCCTGTTATTTATGCATAGGTATAGGAACGCTAAAATGCAAGTTAGATTGAAACAACAACAACATCAACAACAACAAAGTTAATCTGATCAAGCACGTGACCACAGAGAGTCAAACACAATAGCACAGTAAAATAACAAGTCGTAACACGTGAAAAGCCAAATATAATATTATTAAACCTATTTCTAGACATTTTACTTCTTCTACCATTCCAATGTTAAAATAACCTTGACTTATTGACAGATAATTGAGACAATTTTAAGCATTTATATCTATTCTATATTATTAGATATATAGTAGATATTATATATATATATATATATATATATATATATATATATATATATATATATATGTAAAACAGATTATATTTATTATCTGCCAATAGAATAAGACAATTTAAAGCTTGAAATTAAAAAAAAAGTGTAGAAATAGGTTTATATTTCTTATATTTTGTTTTGTAAAATCATATTATAGGAAATACTTTTGACTAAATTCAGAATGCTGATGATGTCCCAGTTTTAAATGTGAAAGAGAGTAATATGATCATGCTCTCCATCTCTGTGTCCCAAGTGTCTTTTCAGTCTGTCCTCTAACTCCCTACTGCATATTTATACTGTTTACTCTGTGTAATAATGAAGTTCTGGTCTCCTCCCGGTCCCGGTCCTGTTACCACAAGTGTGAATGTGACGCCAGAAGTATTGATTTTCTTTGTAGCTATGTGATCACTGAAAAATTCAATGTCACACCTTATCCAGCCTACCGGAGTGGACATGACACCAGAGGTGTACACCTTTCAAGTACCACATTACACCAGCTTGAACCCACTTTTCAGGCAGACACTATAATTTGCTACAGGCTCCTCTTTGATGCTCTTTTTGCCACAAAGTATCTTGTCTGAGGCCAGTGGTGGTGCGTTCTCCTGTTTAGGTTGCTCCCTATTTGTCATTACATGTCATTGGATTGAACACTTCATCACACACTGGTTCAGGAGAGTGGTATCTCATCTCACAGAGCTGTGTGAACGTAATAGTAGAAGTATCTGCTGGTTCCTGCTGGGTGTGTGGTCTCGGTGAAGAGAAATTGTTGTGCTATGTCTTTCAGGGTGGCTGGATAACTTGCAGAGATCTCAATGAAATATGTTCGGGGTTTCTGTTTGTGGTTCTGTAGTTTCACGGTCACATTGTAGATCTCTTTGTCATCGGGTATCTTCCTTATTTGGACATTTGCACTAATTTAACGCACCTTTTATCCCTTTCCACAGCTGACTAGTCTTATCCCAAGAAGTGGTATAATTCAGACAATCATTATGATGCTTGTATCTGATAAGAAACATAAAAAAGAAACTTTTCCCCTCAATGAAAATTCACACACATAGTGTCAAACACAACCTTTTGACGGTTCATAAAACACTTTCTGTACATCATAAACATTTTGGCTAATATAACAAACAATTCCTCCCATACAATTAGGTGCTTGTGATTGATTGGCCGTTGTGTTCCTCGAGCAGTGTTGTGTCCTGTAAGGCGTGAGTGGACTGCTGTCCTTTCAAAAAAATGTAATTTGGATCACTTTCTTAAGCAAGTCTCGACATTTCATCATTT